CAAGTAGATAAATAGGTACCGCTCCAGTGAGAAGGTAAATGGCGTTTTCGTGCGCTGCTCTGGTTTGCCAGAAGCGGCTTAGTCATGCTGGCCACATGACCCGGAAGCTGTACGCCGGCTCCCTCGGCCAATAAAGCGAGATGAGCGCCACAACCCCAGAGTCGGCCACGACTGGACCTAATGGTCAGGGGTCCCTTTACCTTAATTTTGCTGTGACTTTGCATCAGCAGTGATGCAACAGGTAACTGTTATGGACAGAGCATGATTGACAGGAAGCAAGGCTAACCAGCCGTGACCAGGTACTTTGAGCTCCTATGAGCTGTTAGTTCATTGATCTGTCTCACAGTGCAAAAGCAGCACTCGCATGGCACACAGTTTGGGACTTACTAGTTGAAACATAGTTTGAGGTGGTGAATTTGTGTCAAGCTGTACAGCTTCACACTGTAGGTGGAGCTCAGATAATTAATTGAACTTCCTTTATTTACAAACCAAATCCTTTCATATAGAGAACTAGTATGTAAGAAAAAGGTGTTCCGGCTTTGCCATTTTGTGTGCAGGGGTTTTATTTGTATGGAGGAGCAGTCAAAGGCAAAGTCCCAGTCTAGCTAGACCTGATTGCTCATAAAGTCATCTTGGCTTGAAGCAAGCTGGTCACTCCCATCATGTGCTTTTGAATGTTTTGATTTCACAACCAGCCCCTTTGTTGGTTTACTCTTCTACTTTTAGAACACTAGCCTTGTAAGTCAGTTTTATTTCCTGTTTTGTGCTTCCCTGCCATGGAGTATTGAAATTGATTGTGAGAGCCATTAGCAACGAAACACTGGTTATATGCAAGCCCATTTGCAACAGCATAAAGCAATAAAACAGCAAAGCAGGGGTAAGCACCATTTTAAAAGGCATTTAAAAGTATTTCACAGCTTCCAGAGCAATAGCTCTCGAAAATCTGGTGAGCGGCGGTTATCATCTACACATTTCAGTGCAGAGTTATGCCAAATTTATAAAGTCTGATGTAGTTTTGTTAGGTCATACGGGTCTAAAGGTGCAGAAACTACTTTGAAAACCCTTCATTTACATTCCCCTAACCCAAGCTGAAGCAACTGTGACTTTCCCTTTTCTTCTTTTAATGAACTACCTGCAGCTTAGATGAGTCAACTCTTCCTAAATACAGGCTGAAATAGGGCACCCGAGGCCGTGTAATTGGATGCAAGGATGCTGGTTTTGATAAGCAGCAAACCTACACAAACTGGAAGAGTTACAGCTTTTTTATTGAACACAGATTTCCTCTGCATTGCTCTGCCTTTCAGAAATCCTTTTCATGTTCCGTCTGGATTTTTGCGCAGTTGTAGAATAATTGCTGCTCAAGTTGGCAAACGGCCACATCCCATCAGAGCACTGACAGTGCCCCATTCATCAAGTTTATTTCTTTCTGTAATAATATTCTCATTCTCTCTCTCTCTCTCTCTCTCTCTGTCTCTCCTTCCTTCATTCATTGTTGCATTCATTTGTATTCTGTCCAGATTTGAATTCTGGTTTGCATATTACAACACTGCACTGCAGCCATTCATTCAGAATTAGGGTAGAATTACACCTTATAAGAAACAAGGGGGTGCCACCCAATATGGCAATCCCATGTTGAGTTTCCATCTTCCCCCTGTAATGTGTAAATTAAAACAACTTATCTCATGGAAATCTTGTGTTATATGTCTTAATTATTGTTGCAATTTGTTGTACAATTGGCTGTGCTTTATTTACTTGTGAGTGAATGGGGTCTCCTAGGTCCTAGTCCTATACTCCAGCTACTTACACTACACTAACCCTCGTGTTGACATGCATTGCTTCACTTAGACAGTTCACATCTTGTGCGTTGATCTTCTTGGCCAAAGGGAACAGGGAGTTAATTGCATTTGTTGCTCCTCTTCTCTCTACAGCGAGTTTGTATCTTGGCTCATAGAAATTGGGGAGATAAGCAAACCGGAAGAAGGGGTCAACCTGGGACAAGCTCTGCTGGAGAATGGCATCATTCATCATGGTGAGTGCTTTGCACGGCAGCAAAAGATCGTATCGGGTGTAGTAGTGTACTGAGAAGTAGTGATGGATTTTTATTTTAAGAGCACCAACCACATGTTGTTCAGGCCTCAGCAACCAATATTTCAATCAATGTCTCAACTTTGGGATTTTTTTCTTTATCTAACGGGAGGAGTTTTCTCGACACCAGTGAGATCAACACATTACAAATCAGTATTCACTCTAAATACTTCAGTGCAGGAGCAGACTCATAGGTATGTGTGGTGTGTTCAGAATTAGGGCCCTCTGCAGCTGAAGGGCCCCAAGGTTGTTTGTACAGGTGCTGACCATTTTAGGCACATCCAATTGATGTGTGAACGCTGATGTGTGGGTCTTTTGGGCCCTGAAGAGGGCGAAATGGTGGTGGGGCGCACTTAGATTGGAACCCCCATGCAAAATGGATCGCTGTGAACTGAGCGGATTCTTTTGAAACTATGACTACAGTGAATTGCCATTGTTGAATTCTGTTATTAGAGTTGGTTGCATTGTTTTCACTCAGAGTACATATGAAAAGAAAGAGTTACTGCAGCGAGCCTGTGTGCCATATAGGTACATTTCTTATTGTAATATAATTGGATTCAGCTTTCTGAGTGTATATTTTGTGCAAAAACAGGGCTTGCTTCAGAGTAATGTGTGAAATGGTACCCTGTTTGTTTATTTGTAGGATGACCAGATTGCAGGGTTTTTCTCTTTAAAGACGGGCTAGTTTTCTTCTTTTGCTTTTTATTACTATTGCAGAAAGCCATACATCCTCTTGTCATTTATGCAGCAGGGATTCCTCTTCCATCCCTCAGGTGCACATGGCTGGAAAATGCACTTCAAAGCGCCCATACTTTTTCTACCTCAGGTCCCAAACCTTCAGTTGCCTCAATTTCAGAGCAAATGATCTCAACCCAGTTCTTAACTGGGAAGTCATTTTATTAAGCTTGTCTGATGTCCGTGACAATCTTTTTTTGTATTACAATGTCAGGGGTGTTTTTCCTAACTGTGTGAAAAAGCAAGAGAAAAGTAGTTGCTGCCTTCATTTGCTTCCAAGCCATTGCCCCAAGAACAGAATACATTACTTCATAGTTGGGGGATTTGTGGTCCTCCAGAGGTTGCTGGATTATTGTTCTGCTGCTTCAGTTTCAGATAAGCACCAGTTCAAGAATGAGCAGGTGATGTACAGGTTTCGCTACGATGATGGGACTTACAAGCCAAGGAGCGAATTGGAAGACATCATGTCCAAGGTATGTTTCTGGGCTGACGTTGTGGCATAGCCAGAGTTTGTTATAACAATGAGCTTATTCGTAATCTGTTTTGAAGCACTGGTCAAATTGCTATTCTGGGCCCAGTGCAACTGCACAAGAGATCAGGGGATCTAGTGGATCCTGAGTCAGCTCAACCCTGCCCTTGGAATGCCCTTTTCAGGACTTTCAGATGGTCCTCACAGGCAGGGATGCTTCCAGCAGGCCTCATGCCCTTGCATCTGGCAGAAGGCTGACTGAACTGGATAAACTGGGGAGAAAGAGCCTTCCGCCCAATCCATTGCTCTGGGTTGGATTGCTCTTTAAGAGACCAAAGAGATTCACTCCTTTCCCCCTCTTTCTCCATGAATATTTGACTATCTCAATCACCAGGAAGAAGCTGCAGCAAGTTTTATGTAGCTATACACGGAGATGTTCTGTACAGTCTATGCTAAAATAAGGTCAGATGTTTTAGAGTGGAACACCTGAAATATAAAACCTCATGGTCAATAGCTGAATGAAAGTAGCTTACTTTAAAGTGTGTGCGCGCATGTATGTTTGTGTGTCTTTATATATAGAGTCAGCAAAACTTACATATTTTTACATTTAGGATTGGTATGCAAAGGTCAGCAAACTGTTGCTGCATTTTAATTGTTTGTTTGTTTGTGTATGATATTTTTACCCTGCCATTTTGACCGTAAGATCCTCAAGGCTAATTATACAAGTCAAAACAGTAATTTAATAAAACACCACAAAATTCCACAAGCTTCATCAACCACCGGGTAAGAATCAGTACAAGTGCAGCAAATAAACAGCAATAAGATGCCGCTAAATGCCTGGAGAGAAAAATTAGCCAGACTCACTGCTGCAGGTCCTCCACATGTGTTTTAGATAATATTATATCTGTTTTGAAATTTCAAGCCTGCGTTCATTTCTCTCTGCAGGGTGTGAGGCTCTACTGCCGCCTCCACAGTCTTTACACTCCGGTGATAAAGTAAGTATATTATCACAATGCTTTCGTGTTTTGCCTGTCTTGCTGCTGCCTACATCACATAAGTTGAAATCTCTTCCCTTCCCTTATGTAAATGTAGTAAAGCCCTTGTCTGCTTGGGAGATGCAGGCTGTTCTGCATGTTACTCTGAGAGGTGCGGATCAGGGTAGCTCACATCTTTGGAGGCAGGTTGCCACGTGGGACACCAAAGCCATATCCTGACCCCTGGAAATCTTATTCAAAAAAACCCTTGGTTTTTGCCACCATGATCGCAAACACACATTCATAAGGGCATCAGAATTGCTTGGGGGGGGGGGGGGAGAGACAAAACCGAGATTCCTAAGAATTAGCCACTTCCTAGACCCATCAAGCAAATCTCTTCATCCTAGATTTCACTAGTCATAATGAGCAAGGATGTAGTTCCAGGTTCTCAAACTGCTACACCTGGAACTGATTCCACAGGTTGTAGCTAGATGATGCTCCAGGGACTTCCAATGGACCTGCACTAATTGTGGCATCACATTCATCATGGATGATAAATTTCTCAAATTATACCACACTGGTCTGAATCCAGCTGATTTACCAGTCTATTACGCCTTTGCTGTGCAGTTCACTGAGGAATATGTTGCCTTTGTCACCACCACTGCAACATAGAATCATAGAGTCAGAAGAGACCATGAGGGTCATCTAGTCCAACCCCCTGCATTGCAGGAATCTTTTGCCCAACGTGGGGCTCGAACCCACTACACTGAGACGAAAGAGTCTCATGTTCTACCAATTGAGCTATCTAATGGTAGGCTCATACCTGTGTTTGATCAAACCTCTGCTCTAGCTCAGCCTGGAATGCCTCAGAAAACCAAGGAGCCTTCTGGACTCCCCACAGCTGGGGGTTGTGGTAGCTTGCAAGTCTACATGACCCCTGGTTGCCAGCGATAGCTAGGTGCCCACAGCCCTGGGGGTTTCCCATGAGGAATGGACCATTCTGGGCAGTGTAGAGCTTTGAAGGATTCTCCTTCAAAGATAAGTTATGAGCACTTAGTGGCAAGGGCCATCTCTCTTAGTCCTGTGTCCTCTACATTAACAGGAACAGGTTTAAGCTTTAGGTTCCAGTTAGCAAGAGTAGCTGTGCCAGTAGGTTTTGTATTTTGTATTGTTTTAATAAAGTTGATTTGGTTCCGTGGCTCTCCAGATGTTGTTAGACACTCATCAGCACAGCTAATGGCCAGGGATGCTGGGAGTTGCAATCCAACAACATTTGAAGACCATGAATTCCCCATCCCTGTCCTAGGACATCACAGCCATTATGCCGGTCATTCTTTTGTTCCTACCCTCTGAGCACAGGGTGAGATTCCATGAATCTCCAAGCAACTCCACAGTTTGATTGGCCTCTGTCTTATTTCTCATTGAGCATCCTGACTGCCATATACCAATTGCTAGTCTTTTTAAGTACACAGATCTCAGACACATTACCAGCTTGTATTGCTGAAATTCAGCTTACTTCCACCAAACATGTTTGGTAAGACATGTTTTCCTCCTTTTATCATAACCGTTCTCCAATTCAGTCAGAAACTAAAGCAACTGATATATAATATTTATGGAATAAGTGCCAGATCATTTCATTTGGTAGAACTCCAGGAATTGAGATACAATCTACTGGGTCAAAGTGAAACATTCATAGGAGGTAATCTTAGAAAATAATTCTTACTTTGGCACATTGTTTAAAACATTCTTTCCTCATATGTGTAACATTATTTGTAAAACATTCTCTGCTTATTTGAAGTATTGAAACATAATGATTCCCTGTTTTAGCTTTCAGATGGGCACTACAGCTAGCCATGCTTGAAAAAGGGATACATGGTCGCATGGTCTGTTTGTTTCTTAAACCAAATGCTGCTGATCACATAAAACAAATTCTTAGGATGAGGAAAACAAGCCTTGTTGCAATGCTCGCTAAAAGGAAGAGGCTGCAACCCTCCCTCCCCCCTTTTTTTTGCAGTTGACCTCTTATTCCCCAGTTATGGAGCAGATGTGGTGTTGTGAGTGACAAATCATTGTCATGCAAATAGCACCTGGAGCACAAAGGCATTTCATGAATCGGAATTCTGCTTAATTGAAGACACTGTAACCCTGGGGAAAGTGGTGCTGGAGTGTGTTTCTGTGTGCACACTCATGCTTCCACGCATGTGTATTTCATCCATTAAGCAAATGATTCATACACACTTCAAACAATGATAATCGCTTCAGCTGAGAAAATGTTACTGACCTTGGGGCATACCATTAGGGGCTTCTTTTGAATACATCAGCTCCAACAGCATTAAGCGAACAACATGCAAGAACAAGTATTGCTTTCTATACTAGGAAGGTGGGTAGAAATTAGTATCCAGGAAGAACTGTAAACAAAACCATTTATTAGCTAATAATAAATAATAATAAATGTACATACATACCAACAAATGCTATACATACCAACAGATTTAAGACTGGTATGAATTGATGGAGTCCAGTGGGAACATCCTAGTAATGCCTGGGATTCCCTGCCCTGCGTGGAATGGCCATGGGAACTGCCAAGAATTTCAATGTGGTGATCACATTAGTGGAACTATAAATTACATAGAAAAATTTCCTTTCTATAATTACTCTTTCTGCCTAAGTTACGGCATTGTTCATGTTACTAACAATCATGCTGTTAATGAGCTTTCCATTTTTCTTTCTGTAGAGACCGAGACTACCACTTGAAGACCTACAAGTCAGTGATCCCAGCAAGTAAGCTGGTGGATTGGCTGATTGCTCAGGTAATGACAGCATATGTATGCTGATGTTTTACTTCATCTGTTGCACCTTTCACAGTTTTATTACACTGAAGCATCAGCCTCACTAATGTGGTCCAAAGGAAAGCAGAGAAAGATGCTTGGCACTAGCTTGGCTGCAGGAGTTGCCAAAAGGAGGCATTACAAGGTGCCATCCAACTGTCTTAAGGGCTCCACTCCGGATTTACGTAGGGTTTATAGCCTTTTCTTCTCCTGAAGAAATCCCACAAGGCAGTAGAGGTTTATGATAAGAGTTTTCCTTCTCCTAGGTGGGCTACCTTCCCAGGTTGACGTGCCTCATCTGCCCCTCACTGCCCTCTGCAGCACATGCACAAACTTCTTGACTGTTGGACCCATTATTGGTCCCATCCATTCAATGCACCAGAGCCTGTCTTTGCATGCAGGGGAAGTCCTGCACTGAGGGTTTGAGACCCATTGGCTACCCTCACCTGGTTTAGCCGGCCAGTCGAAGCCATTCTCAGGGTTTGGCCACTTTCGCATGCTTACAGCTTTTGGAGCCACAGGTGAGAGTTGAGTGTAGGGTGGGGACCAAAGGTGGACAAACTAGCCGAGAAGGAGCACGGTGTGTCTCCCACCAGTAGTATTCTGCCTCCCCTAACACCCCATAAACCATACACACCTGTAGTGGGCTAATGCCATAGCTAACTATTAAAAATCTGCTTCCAATAGAGCCATTTTTGGATACTGAAAACTATGGAAAATACTATTATTTTTGACCCAAACTGCAGTCCTGTGCAAAATTACCTTAGAGTAAGCATCAGTGAACACAGTGGGTCTTACTTCTGAGTAAGCCTTCATATGAATCCAACACAAATAAATATCTTAAGATTTCATTTTTCAAATAAGTTAGCCCTATACTCGTTTAGATTTAATTGCTTGGCAGAGTTTTGAAGAACTGTTCCTTCTGTTTGTAATTTGGGCTCAAACAGCCAAGGAGATCACTTACTAATGGAAGAGTCTGGTTTTCATTTCCACATCAATATCTAAAGATCCAGAGAAGCAATCATGTAAGAGACACTTTCTGCCTTATTGAGTATATAATTTTTCGTCCATATTCACCCCCTCAATGAACTTGTTGATTTTTGTGTACAAGATATAGCCAGAGTTGAGAGAACTTTTGAAAGCAGCTATGTAATGTGAGATGACAGGGGCACCTTCTCTGTGCTTAACTTCTATAAGAGCACAGAATGGGCATCAAATATCATTAAACATGTTGGCAACTGAAGCTGTAATATATTACATAAACTTAGCATTATGTAATGTCCTCTTATTCAGAGGCTTAGTAGGGTTAGCTGACCCATTGGAGTGTCCTCATTCCAGTTCATGTTGTCAGCCTAACACAAGGAAGCACGTTCAGCCATTGCATACTGTTGATGTGGGAGGAAAAAAGAGAGAGAAATTTGGCATAGGATTGTAGGAACATGCCAACATCTGACCAGGTATAGACCATTTGAGCTGCAAGACTTGGAATTTGAACAGTTGGACCATTAATGGCCAGAACTCATTCTTGGCTCAACCAAGTTCCAATTTCTCAAGGCTGTAAAATTGGGTGAGTGTCCCAGAGTAAAAATAACTAGTTATGACTCTATTTTTTTGGACCAATACAGACTGTTGGCCAGTCTTGGTCAATATTGTTGACACTTAGTGACAATAGTTCTCCAGGATTTCAGGGAATCAGAGAATTGTAGGGTTGGAAGGGGACCACAAGGGTCATCTAGTCCAACCACCTGCAATGCAGGAATCTCTTCGTCTAGGGTGGTACTTGAACCCACAACCCTGATATGAAGAGTCTCATGTTCTCCTGACTGAGCTATTCAACACTGTGTAGATGGTGGACAGTGTATAGCCATTGGCCTGGCTCAGAGCAAGTGCTGAAAAGAGCATTAAAAAAAAGGTAAAGGACCCCTGACCGTTAGGTCCAGTCGCAGATGACTCTGGGGTTGTGGCGCTCATCTCGCTCTATAGGCCGAGGGAGCCGCCGTTTGTCCGCAGACAGCTTCCGGGTCATGTGGCCAGCATGACTAAGTCACTTCTGGTGAACCAGAGCAGCGCACTGAAACACCGTTTACTTTCCTGCCAAAGCAGTACCTATTTATCTGCTTGCACTGCGTGCTTTCGAACTGCTAGGTTGGCAGGAGCAGGGACCTAGCAACGGGAGCTCACTCTGTCGCGGGGATTCGAACCGCTAACCTTCTGATCAGCAAGTCCTAGGCTCTGTGGTTTAGACCACAGCGCCACCCATGTCCCTTAGAAAAGAGCATTGGTGTGCTCCAAATTACATAGATACTGGAGAAAAAAATAGTTCGCTAGTCAAAAGAGAAATGTCTGACCCCTATGCTGTGGCTAGAAATGTATATGGACGTGCTGCATATGTAGCAATAAGTCCTGTAACTTCTAGAAGCAGGAAACATAACTTTCCTGGGGTTTCCTGCTGTCGTGCCTTCTGGATACTTTGGTGTTCCCACATGGCCTGTAGAGTCAGCTTTCCCCTTAAATATATGCCTCCCACTCCTATTGGAAACAAGATGTGTATGTATGTTCCTGGCTTCCCCTTTTCATTTTCTCACGGATTAAGTTCTAAAATGTGCTTAATCTTTAATAATAAAAAAGTGAGTAACCTGGCAGGGCATGTATTGCTATTCCAGAACAAGATCACATACCTTTATATTACAACGGTGTTATATGGTCCTGCCTTTGACTTAGCAGGCAGATCAAGCTAATCAAGCTCATTTGGATTGTGGTGTCAGTCCTGTATGCCAAGCATTGGAGAGAAAGCAACATTTTGCCATAACTGAATAGAAGAATAAGATGCTTCTTAGATGCCTACCAGCAGAATACGCAAGCAGTAGCCCTCTCCTGTTGACATTCCCAGTAGCGAGCAATCAGTGGCATACAGACTCTGCAAATAATACAACAGGACATTTTTAATCAGAAAAATTTAAAATGTTTTTTGTTGTTGTTGAGGCTAAAC